ACCCTCACTAGATGTTCCCCTAGACCATGGACTTCCCAGCCTCCGAAAGTATAAGAAATAAATTTTATTTTTTAGTAAATGCTTTAAAAGTTACATTTAAAGAATATAATGGCTCTTTTCTTCCATTAACAATGGTAAGCTTAACTTTTTTTTCCCCATGTGAGTTGTGAATGAATTTTAAATCCAAAAGAACTTAGTCACTAAAAGGCCACAAAAAATGTTTACATTGTGTAATGACTCAAAAAAAAAAAAAAACTTAGTCACACAAGTATTTGGAAACAACGAAGTTCTAATTCACAGCGTGGGCAAGTATGGTTGGGGCATCATGCCGCCTTCAGTTGGGATGTCACCAAAAGGCCCACTCAGCTGCAAACAAAGGGACATTTTCAAAATATGTGAAGATGAGGATTCTGGGCCACTGCCAGCAGTGGCAGTGATGGGAGCCCTCCCCCGTCCTCCCCTGTCCCCTGCTCCCCAGGGCCAAGGGTGTCAAGGTCTTTGATTTACCAGGGACCACTGCAGGCTCACTGGCTGGGAGGATCCAACATGCATTGTGGTATAGTCATACTATTAATTAATCATCTCAGCTAGCACACCAAAGAGGTACAAGACATACTATTATCCCCACAGTACAGACGAGAACACTGACAGATTGTCCCCAAATCAAACAGCAAGTGAGCAGATGAGCAAAGCCAGCAGCCCTGCTTCCCACCACCTTCTTGCTGCAGAGCTTTGCTCAGAGAGGCCAACTTCTGATGACAACATCTCACTGGAGGGCTGCAGCGGCCCCCTACTCAAAGGGAGGAATGGAAGACCTGAAAACAGAACTTCAAAGGGCATGTCTCTCTGAACTCCGTTTTCTAGCAAGCAAATAGCGTTCCACAGGGCGAACGCTACTACCTCAGAGCCTACCACGCATCTGTTGGTTGTTCTGTTCTCTTCTATTTATCCTTCTGTTCCTTCTCCCATCTGTCTAGTCATGTCTTTCTCCCTTCCTCTTCTCCCTCTCTTGCCCTCTCTCTCTCTTCCTATTTTTTTATGTAGCTAAAATATGGAACTGGCACATTCTAGATATATACATATAGAGAGAGAGAATGTGTGTGTATATATACATATATATTTTCCTTGCATTTATTAGCTAATGACCTATTTTCCCTGTTTTAAACTTTCATCACACCAGTTAAATTCAATCATTTGAAAACAAAACTAAAAACCAATTAGGTTGCCCAGTTCTATAACTTTCTGGTGGACTCTGAGGAAGTTACAAAATGTGCTATCACCTGTGAAATGGGGATGATAACAGCACCTACTTTATAGGGTCATTGTGAAGATGAAATAATCTGATACATATAAATAGCTCAAGGGCTGGCCCATGGCTCACTTGGGAGAGCGTCGTGCTGACAGCTCCAAGTCAAGGGTTAAGATCCCCTTACTGGTCATCTTTTTTTAAAAAAAACAACAGAAACCTCACAAAATAAACAGCTCAAAAACGTGTGCCAGGCCTGAGTGTGCTGTTTGCTAATATTATGAAGTGGTCTTTTTTAAAACTCTCCCTGTGAGTGAAAGGGCTTCTTCCTTGTGCCAGAAGTTCTGCCTGTACTTTGTGATTATTTCAGGAGCACCTCCCACCTGGTGTCTCCAATGGTTAAACAAGACTTTTCCATTTACTGGGCTTTAGTGGTGATTCAGCAGGGAGAGGAAATGAGGGAGGAATTCAAGACCAGCTAGCACTCAGTTCCTGGAGGAGAGTTACTGGAAGATTCTGACAGAGAGTAGGTCTTGAATCTTCTTGTGTTGGGTGATACTGAGCAGAAGATCTACACCCACACTTAACCTTTAGGGCTTGTATTAGTCCGTTTCTGTTGCTTATAACAGAACACATGGAACTGGGTACTTTGTAAGAAAACAAAATTTATTGCTTACAGTTTCAGAGGCTGGGAAGTCCAAAGTCCAGGGAACACATCAGGGAGGGGCTTTCTTTGGTGATGACTTCAGTGATGCAGGTATCACATTGTGAAATGGCAGAAGCCACGATAGAGATAGCTTCTCATGCTCCGTTTAAAGCCCTCAGAACCATGTCCATGATCACCATTTTTAATACAATCACTAGGCATTGGTTCTCAGAATCTAATCACCTCTTCAAGGCCCCATCTTTCAATGATCATAATAGGATTTCCCACCCTCATAACAGTCACAGTGGGGACGAAGCTACTAATACATACAACTTGGGGACACAATCTATATCAGGGCTGAAATTTATTTCTCACAGTTTTGGAAGCTGAGAAGTCTGAGATCAGGATGCCAGCGTGACTGGGTTCTGCCAAGGGCACAATTCCTGGTTTGCAGACGGCTGTCATCTTGCTGTATCCTCACAAGGTGGAGAGAGCAAGCTCTACTCTCTTCTTATAAGGTCATTAATCTCATTGTGGGGCTCCACCCTCATGACCTTATCTAAACCTGATTACTTACCAAAGGCCCCACCCCTTAATAGGATCCCACTGGGGGTTAGGGTTCCAACATATGATTTTTGGGGGACACAAACATAACATTTGCTGCTTGCCAACTGTCTCTCTGGTCTTTTTAATTTTGATCATTTGCTATACCAGTCTACCTTGCTTCTGGATGCTGAGCTGTTTGAGGGATGGGAGCTATCCCGAATCCACTGCTCCAGGCACACTGAAGGTTTGTGGAAAGAATGAATGTAACTAACACCAAAAAAGAGCTGATCAGCAAGTCTGGACTTCCCTTTTTGAAAATGTATTCATTAGTAGAAACTCTTCAATTTGTCTCAGAACACTGCTTTTATTCAAACACACTGCACATGATTAAAAATGTACTTGGACTAGCTGGGAATTATTTTAATGGAAAAAAATAGTTGCTTTTCAATGTTTGATGGTATGCAGTCACTCACAACTCAGTCATTTATGTGACAATAATCACACAAAACATCCTGCTCAGGTTTATAAATATTTAAACAGATAATCCACTTTTTCACTTGACACAGTTAATACAAAACGAATTTTTAAACGTAGAAGACATTTCCAGAAGACAGGTTGAAAAATTAGTCCCAATAGAATAAAAGGCCGTCTAACTCCCTGATGTACATCCTGGGACATGCAGCTCTGTTTTCCAAGGAAATAATATCTGGGGTCTACTACAAGTAAAAGCCATCTAATATATTTTTTATTTCTTTAGAGAAATATGCAAATACTCCCTGAATTAAGTTGCATCTCACTCCAAAGTTCATTAGGGAAGTGCCTTGAGTTGCATGTCCCCCCAAAACTTAATCCTCGCTGTAACTGTTGAGGGCGAGTAATCCTATTATAGTAATTGAAAGGTGGGGCCTTGAACAGGTAATTAGATTGTGGGACCATGCCCTAGTGAATGGATTAAAAATGGTGATCATGGGCATGGTTTGGAGGGTTTTAAAAGGAGAGTGAATGAGGAGGTTAGTCTCTCTCTCTGCTAAGCCATTTCGCAATGTGATACCCTGCGTCACTGTCGCCACCACCAGGATGTGTTCCCTGCACTGTGGACTTCCAGCTTCCGAAAATGTAAGCAATAAGTTTTGTTTTCTCCATAAATCACCCACTTCTATGTAGATTGTTATAAGTAACAGAAACGGACTAATAAAGGCAGGAGTTTCATATTCCAATTCAGTGGTATGTACTCCTAAAGCTGCAAAAAGTGCTGCAGACAAAATGACACTCGAAAAATGTATCTTTTGTTTTTTGTTTTTTTTTTTTTACATTTCTTGAGATCAATATTCGCTTCATGCCATTTATGCTCAATACCAGAAGGGAATGGCAAATTACTATGAACAAAGACGAACGTTGAAAGCGCCCTTGGGTGAGGCCAACCAAGACCTAATATTTTCTACAGCTGTTTCCACAGGAAGAAGCTCCTTCCCTGTGAATTATAGTGGGAAAGAATGATTTCATAGTAAGAATTTATTCAAGGGCTGCTGCTTCTGTTCTACCCAAGGGAGAAGTGAAAAATAACGCCTTGCCCAGTACCTTACTCTATTCCTAACGCCCTACTTCATCCCATCATTTACTTTCCTAGTGGTGTGGGCATAAGGAATCCTGTACGAGAGTACTTAAAACAATTCGTGGAAAGATTAGTATTACCTTTTAATCCTATTTTTTTCCACGAACTTTTTGAAGTGTCCTTATTATCGTCACGGAAACTGAGGCTCCAGGGATAAAAATGACCTCTTAAAGATTACACGGGCAATGAGGGCAACTGTGACCCAGCGCTTAACCTATCAGGAGGTATCAGGAGGCAGGGAGGCATCGCTGCCCTGCTAGCATGCTCTTTAGCCAGAAGGCTTTTCGATTTTAAAATCGAAGGCTGACCAGTGGCCCCACTGCGTCGAGGTGAGAGCGTGTGACCGTGTCTACAACGTAGTGATGGGTCCTCAAGCGAGGGCTCCGTGAGGACGCCCACCGGCGCCTCTGAAGCTGCCCAATTAGGCGATCCCCTGGTGGTGCCTGCCTCGCTAAGTGGCAGTGAAGGGCTGTGTTTAGGTGAAGCCAGTATTGAGCAAAGACCCGGGTGAAGCAGGCGCTCAGAAGGGACGGATGTGGAAGAAGGGTCACCACAGTACCGGGAGGGAATCCCGGCCCGCCGAGGACACCCCCAGCCCCTGGGGCGGGGGGTGGGGCGGAGGGAATAAGCGGGCTCAGGCGTACAAACCCCACCCTGGCAAGGTGCTTGTGCCAGCTTTGGGCCAGGGCTCTTTAGGGTTTGAACTGGAGGTGTTTTAACTCTGCCTCCCGCCGGTTGGCACGCGGCTCCTCCTGTCCCGGGGCCCCTAGAGAAGCCGCGTGGTCCGCTGAGTAGGGCGCCGCTCGGTGCTCGGCTCTCGATTGCTCGCGCCTGGCGGCGGCGGGCAGCGCGCACGATGGCTGGGGCTCTGCGCTCGAGGAGTCGAGCCTGGCCCGAACCGGCAGCGACGCGCTCTCGGCGCCGACCCCGGCGCCTCAGGCCAGCGGGAGGAGGCGGCTGCGGCAGCCGGCGCGGGGATGTCGAGAAGCTCGAAGGCAGTGCTCGGCCTCTCGGTGCTCCTGACGGCGGCCACGGTGGCCGGCGTGCACCTAAAGCAGCGACAGGACCGGGAGGTCGGTGTCACGTGACCGTGTCTTCCGGGGCCCGTGCAGGGCGCTGGCCTCGGGCCTCCGTGGTCTCGGTTCGCGTGGTTCCCCCAGTCCTCCTCGAGTCTTTCCTCTTCGGCCTCTCCTCTCCTTCTCTGGGGCGCGGCTCGGCGCCCGCCTGGCTCCCGGTGCTGCAGCTGCCCGCGGTCGCGTGCAGCCGCGAGGTCCAGCGTCACCCGGCCACCGGCTGGCGCCTGGAGGCCGCGCGCAGGGGACGTCCTGCTTCCTCCCACGCACGCTCCTGGGGTGTCCCGCGGTCTGTCACAGTGATGCGGCCCGTTCAGCACCTCACTTTGCACACTAAAAAAGGGCGAGGAAGGGGTTTTCTTGGGTTGCATTCAGGAAGTTACCGGTCTTTCTCCACCCCCGGTCCCAGGGTTGGGGCTAAAGCCTCATGTTTTAAGTGCTCATGATCGTGTTCCTCCATAAAGGAGGTCCCTCCGTACCTACCTTCTAAGCCTTTGGCAAGGTAATTTGGTGAGATATTTGTATGTATATTTTTTTCTTCTTTAAACGAATAGTTTGCTTTGGGAACCGCAGATTCTGGGTATGATAGAGTTACCAGACCCCACATTTTCTTTTCTTTCTTTTTTCTTTTTTTTTTTTTTTTCTTTAAAGATGACCAGTAAGGGGATCTTAACACTTGACTTGGTGTTGTCAGCACCACGCTCACCCATTGAGCTAACCGGCCATCCCTATATAGGGATCCGAACCCATGGCCTTGGTGTTATCAGCACCATACTCTCCTGAGTGAGCCACAGGCCGGCCCTCACATTTTCTTTTTGGTACTTTTATTTCTGAAAATATCCGTGACTTACTGATCCGTGAGTGATTGTTCTGTCTTTCTCAGTTCATGTTTTCTTTCTTCCTTTTGTCGGCAAGTGTTTAATGACTGATCACTGTGTACCAGGCACCCCCCTAGGCACTTTGGGAATATGAGGATGAGGAAACACAGCCGCTCTGAGTCTATAAATGATTCAGAACAGTGCTAAATGTGTGAGAACGGGCAAGTAGGTCGTTGGTGAACATTGACAGGTCTTGGGATTTGCCCAAGGTGCAATTAATGAACTGGATGAATCGAGAGTAAACAGTCTTCTCGATTTGCTTGCCCAGGGCTTTGGACTGTGTTTTGTGCTTGGTGTACAGAGATGAAGTCGATGAGGTCTTTGTTCTTGGTCTTCACAGTCTCTGGAAATCAGAAGAGAGGAAGCATGTGATGGTACAAGAATTTTGAGGAGGATGGAATGACCATTGATGAAAGGGCATGAAAGATTAGAGATTTGGGATTAAAGTGTGGTTCTAAGAGGGGTAGCTCTTGGAATTGAGGTAGGAGACTTTCTCCTCTTAGAAGGGAAAGTAAAAGGTGTTGATCCTGAGAAAACTTGAGATGTGGATGGTATCTCAGATGTAGTTCTGAGGTCAGTGAAGTCGGTGATTTTCAAAGAGTATGGGTTAGGGATGGGCTAGATCTTGGTTCTGAACCAAGATTTGAACACATCAAATTTTCTGAATCAAGATTTGAACACATCAAACGTTCCTGGGAAGTTTTTACAATGTAAATAAGACTTGGCCTTCACCAGATCAATTAAGCCAGAATGTCTTGGGGATGGGGACCAGGTTTAGCTATGTTGTGAAAGTGACCCAGAAGGCTTTAACATAGCCAGGCTTGAGAACCCCTGTGTTAGAGAGTAGAATAGTGGAAGAACAGCAAGATTTAGATGTTAGGAATTTAAAGATGAAGAAAAGGTTGACCAGAATAACCTGTGTTTATTTTCCATCCAATCATTTATTAGGGGCTTGCTTTCTACCAATGAGAAAGAGCTGGAGAAATGATTGGCACAGTGGGTGTGTTGGAAGGTTCAAGGAAGAAAGAAATTAAGTAATGACTATTGTTGATGGTCTACCGCATTACATACCAGGCACTGTATTAAGCACTTTATATACATCATCTTTAATCCTCACAGTAACCCAGCAAAAACCAAATAAATAGTATACAGTAGGAGCCAGAGCTCTAGGTGTTAGAGTTGTAATAGTGAAAAGGTGGTCAGCAAGGGAGGAAGTTTGGTAGCTAGTAAGGGGAGTGGTTGGTAAGGTAAAAGTGGAAGTCACAGGAACAATGTATGAGCATAGACATTGACACGTGGAGGAAGATAGCAAATGATGGGATGGGGAGCAAGATCATGAACACATGCTAAAATACCTGAGAAAAGGGAGACAGATGTGGAAGGAGGGATTCCAGTGGATGGTATGGGCTTTGGGGGTGGGGTGGGGGGTGTAGGTATGTCATGGTACTGTAAGGAGCACAAGACAGGAGACCCGGGGTGAGGGGAGTGGAATAAACCACTCCAGTTTTACCTCAGTGGGGATCTTGTCGAGGGTGCAGGGTTCAAGAAAGTTGGGTGTTATCAGTCCCAGGATTCTTAAATTTTCCAACTTCCTTGTGATAGCAAATAGAGCTCTAGGCCTGGAGGAAGTCTAGCAAGTAGGTCTAGGTGAGTTTTTAAAAATAGATATAATAATAATTTTTTTTTTTTTTGTCTTTTGTCTTTTTCCGTGTCCGGCAACGGATTGCAACCCTCAGTGTCGCCCCCGTACCGGGCCAGGGACTGGCAACGGGATTGCAACCCTCGGTGTTGCCCCCGCGCCTCGCTCAGCCAGTGAGCGGGAACCGGTCTGTATGTGGGATCCGAACCCTCGGGCGGGAGCGCCGCCGCGCTTCCCAAGCGGCGCACTATCCAGTGCGCCACCGGGCCGGCCCTATAATAATAATTTTTAAAAAACCAAACATACTTGGTCCCCACCTCCATTAATCCTGCCTTACAAGGCTGCTGTTAAAAACTTACTAGAGTATTTTGTGAGCTATAAACTATAAAATGTTAGTTATTAGTAGTGACTGAGTTGATGCTTTAAAAAGTCTCACCTTAGGTGCCAGGTCTATGTCTGGAATTCTCTACCTGTCTTTTAGTGCTTTTCAAGATAGCTACCATTAATGGGCCTTTATTCTTTCCTCTCGTATAGTTTGACTATCCCTTATCTGAAATGCTTTGGACTGAAAGTGTTTCAGATTTCAGATTTTTTTGGATTTGGGGATATTTGCAGAATATCAGTTGAGCATCCCTAATCCAAAAATCCGAAATCCAAAATGCTCCAGTGAGCATTTCCACTGAGTGTCATGTCAGTGCTCAATCAGATTTTGGAGCAATTCAGATTTTCAGATTAGGGATTCTCAGACTGTAATAGCATTCTTTTTTTTTTTTTTCTTTCTAATTTAATTCATTAGTAATTTCGTATAATTTTTATTTTTTCACTTTTCATACTAGGAGAAACCAAGTTCTTTACTTTCTTAAATAATTAAGTTTGTTTAGATTTTAGAAATCCAGGTGTTTTTTTTTCCATCTTATGTTTATTGTTCAGCTAGGATAATTGCTAATAGAAAAGTAGTTTACAGTGTTATTTTAGTAACTCACCAAGTTGTAAAGCATCATATATTAATTAAACTATTTTTTTTTGGCACAAGTGGCTGGTATGGAGATCCAAACCCTTGACCTTGGTGTTGTAACACTGCACTCTACCCACCTGAACTAAGTGGCCCTTATATCAGTTAAACTTTTAAAATTCAACATAGTACTAGTATTTTATTTTTTGTTATTTCACCTTAAGTTTTCTGTACTAAATGTTCAGGAATTTCTTAAAATATAAGGAATCATGTCAGTAATAACATTATATCACACTTACAAGTTTATTTGATGGTTTCATTATTACATTTACATTTCTACAGAATGTTAAAATAGTAGTTGGGTTTTTGGAGTGTGAAAGTTTTAAGTGTATTTTGGTAACACTCTTATTTGGATTTGAATGGCACAAGCATGGGAACCACCTGTTCAGGGTGTTACTGAAATATGTTTCTTACGTTTTTAGAGGCTTCGTGACGGAGTGATCAGAGACATTGAGAGGCAAAACCGGAAAAAAGAAAACATCCGTCTTTTGGGAGAACAGATTATTTTGACTGAGCAACTTGAAGCAGATAGAGAGAAGAGATTACTGGCAAAAGGATCTCAAAAAACATGACTTGAAATGAATGTCAGATATCCAAGGGGTAGACAGCACTGAGTGTGTGTGTGCATGTTTGTGTTGGTGGAGAATAGCTTAGTGAGATCTTCAACCTTTTTTGGTCACTGTCCTTTTAAACTTAATCAAATAAAGGACAGTGGATTATATATTCTAAATTTAAAAGTCCCCCATGTCTGAATAAAGAAGTTGTAGCCAGACAGTCTTCTAAGAGTTTCTGTCTGTGTGATTCTGGTGGAAGCCCCTTTAAGCTCAGTGTCCAGAGCTTAGGGTTGTTACTGAAGAGCATTTCTGAACCTGCGAGAAGGAAGGGATGGATAGTAACATCCACCTGAGTAGCTTGATAAGTCGACATGATGATGAAGCCACAAGAACATCTACCTCGGAAGGGCTGGAGGAGGGTGAAGTGGAGGGAGAAACTCTCCTGATTGTTGAATCAGAGGATCAGGCATCGGTGGACTTATCTCATGACCAGAGTGGGGATTCCCTGAATAGTGACGAAGGAGACGTGTCATGGATGGAGGAGCAGCTTTCCTACTTCTGTGACAAGTGCCAGAAATGGATACCAGCCAGTAAGGAGCTTTTCAGTTCTTTGATTTGTCAATTCCTGTGTGAAGGTGTGTTTTTCCAACCTGTGAAAGAAACGTGGATATAAATATTTATTTTTAATTTCATTGATCAAAACTAGAAGTTTATGTTAAACGTAGACATATTTGTATTGATAGAAATTATTGTCGACCTCTATCACATTGTTAAATTAACATTCTTTATGGTAACCTAATAAAAATTAGAAAATTGGAAATCCTGTGTTACTTAAATAATTAGCCATATTTTTCTAACAAGATCTTGTTATGGATTTGGGCCCAATTCTTGTCCCAGGGTAGAATTAAAGTACAAGTTCATAAAAATTACACTGTTAACATTTAATTTATGTGGAAAATTGCTGCTGTTGTGTACTCAAGTGAGGTTAGAATTAGCAGACTGAGGTGTTTTGTATCATTTTCTAGGACCAGTCTTGTTTCCCACTTGCTGGCCTCCTTTATCTGCTGGCAAGAGATACACTTGCTCCCTGATTGCCTCAATCTTGAGATTATCAACTGCCAGCTTCCTAGCTCCTGAGGAGCATGCTTTGCCAGCTATCATCTGATCTGTACCAAAACAGGATTTTTCCATTAGGCAAGAGACTAGTAAAGACATATGTTCTAGAAGAATGCTTTTTGTAATAGATTTTATAACTAAGTCAGAGAAAGTTTTATATATATATAATTGTGAAGTAATTTTCTGGTATGTGGAAATGTTTTTGTTAGAATGGATTCAATTATTCAAATTAATTAGTAACATTTTCATAGAAAACAAACCTAGAATTTACCAACTAGTTGGTTGCTGCTTCTGAGCTGTCTCTCTCTGATTATTAGTTCAGGGTTCCACCTGAACATCTCAGCGACTTTCCCTTTGTCCTCACAGGATAAACTTTTTTTTTTTTTTTTTTTTTACTGACCGGTAATGGGATCGCAACCCTTGGTGTCGCGCCCGCACCGCGCTCAACCAGTGAGCGGGAACCGGTCTCCACATGGGATCCAAACCCTTGGCGGGAGCGCCGCCACACTCCCAAGCGGCGCACTCTCCAGTGCGCCACCGGGCCAGCCCGTTACAGGATAAACTTTAAACTGTCCTTTGTGGTTGGCTCCCTGCTAAAAAATTCTTTTGTCTCTTCCATCCCCACGTGTAAACAAAACTTTGCAGTTAGGGTGAACTTTTCATTCTCCACAAACAGTCCTTTCTTATCCCTAGGACTTTGCACATTTTCGTTTCCTCTCTGGAATAAGCTTCTCTCCATGTCCTCCCCCATACGTAGGCACCCCTCTTCACCTGACCATTCTAGTCCTCCAGGCCCCTGTATAGATACCCCTTTTCCTAGCTCCCGTCTTCCTAAAATGGATTGGGCACCACTTTTATGTGTCTTCACGCTGCCCTGTGGCTTGCATCACATTCCACTCCTGTGGTTTTCATGACTCACAGAACATCTGCATCACCTGGGGAACCTTAAAAATACAAAGGCTTAGGCCCAACTTCAAAGATTAATTCATCTTGCCTGAGGTAGGCCCAGGCATATTTAGAAAAGTGAAAAATAAAATCCGCCGGTGATTCTGATGCAGGGCGATTATAGAGAACCTCAGTGCTGTTGCAATTACCAGTTTTCTCCTATGCAGCCCTCTCAGATTTATAAACATGTGAGAACAGGCACTGTATCTGTTCTGGACATTTTGTATTCCCAGTTCCTACCTTAAGCGCCTGGCAGGGGGTGGGAGCTCAGATATTTTTTGAAAGAATGTGTGAAGAGACCTGACTATAGGAGGTAGGAAAGTGACAGAAAATCCAGTTAGAGCAATAATACCTGCCTTTCCAGTACCTTTCTCCTTAAAGTTAAGGAACCACAGATTCTTTTTTTTTTTTTTTTTTTTTGACTGGTAAGGGGATCGTAACCCTTGGCTTGGTGTCGCCCGCACTGCGCTCAGCCAGTGAGCGCACCAGCCATCTCTATATAGGATCCGAACCCGTGGCGCCGCACTCTCCCGAGTGAGCCACGGGGCTGTCCCGGAACCACAGATTCTAATGGGCACATACTTGATGTTAGAATAAAAATCTTTCTTCTCTACTCCCTTCCCCATCCCGCTATTGTGGGTTGGCTGAAAAAAAAAAAAAACACAGCATGGGAAACTTGGGAAATCTGGTTGATAAACTGATTAAATCGTTGGGGCACTGCTGCTCTGGATAAATCTGTGATGTGACTTTTTCTCCTAGGTCAGCTGAGGGAGCAGCTCAGTTACCTTAAGGGTGATAATTTCTTTAGGTTTACTTGTTCCGACTGCTCAGCAGATGGCAAGGAGCAGTGTGAGAGGCTGAAGCTGACATGGCAGCAGGTGAGTAAAAAGCTCTCTAGAATGAGGAACTTAACGGACGGGCTTTTGAGTTATTTTGAGGGGCAGTTTTTATTTCAAAATTAGATACTGACTATGGAGAATGGAGTTCTTGATAAAAAATACTCTCCACTAATTTAGTGAGTTAGGTTTGATATGCTTGAAAATCTCACACAATTTCATTTGCATGTAATACCAAGCTCTGATTATTATTATTGTTTTCTTTTTGGCAGCTGGCCAGTTTGACCTTGGTGTTATAACAACATGCTCTAACCAACTGAGCCACCTGGCCAGCCCTCTGATTTCAATTGAAAATGAGGTTCACATTTTTCTGACAGCCATCTATAGAACAATAAAATCATTTTTTGTTTGTTTGTTTGTTTTTGTCTTTTTTTTTTTTTTCGTGACCGGTAAGGGGAATCACAACCCTTGGTGTGGTGTCGCCCACACTGTGCTCAGCCAGCGAGCGCATGGGCCAGTCCTATATAGGATCCAAACCCGTGGCAGGAGCATCACTGCGCTCCCAGCGCTGCACTCTCCCGAGTGCGCCACGGGGCGGCCCTAAAATTATTTTTTAACATGTAAAATGGCTTCTTTGGAAATAAATTTGGAAGAAGTAATGTGACTGGTTGTAAAAACCGACATAACCCAGCTTTTCTGCATTTGAACTCAGATGTTTGAATATTTTTTGTTAAATGAATGCTTATGTCCACTTTTAACCATCTCCAATACCAACACCCTAATCCAAGGCTGCTATAGCCTAAACAATAGCTTTTTACTGAATTCTGAGTTGTATTAATTTTTTTTGGTTTGTGTTTTATCAGTATGGCACCAATGTTATGTACAGACTTGAAGTTCAAAAAATAAATGAATTTGGGCCAGCCCGGTGGTGCACTCGGTAGAGTGCAGCGCTTGGGAGTGTGGCGGCGCTCCCGCCAAGGGTTTGGATCCCATATAGAGACCGGTCCGCTCACTGGTTGAGCGCGGTGCGGGTGCGACACTGAGGGTTGTGATCCCATTGCTGGTCGCGGTATGGTGCGCGATCCTGTTGCCGGTCGTGGTACGGCGCGACACCGAGGGTTTCCAAAGAAGACATGAAAATGACGTAATAACTTCGTATAGCATACATTATACGAAGTTATACCGCTCACTGGTTGAGCGCGGTGCGGGTGCGACACTGAGGGTTGTGATCCCATTGCTGGTCGCGGTATGGTGCGCGATCCTGTTGCCGGTCGTGGTACGGCGCGACACCGAGGGTTGCGATCCCGTTACTGGTCATGAAAAAAGACAAAAAGGAAAAAATAAATAAATAAATGAATGAATTTTATGAGGTTGCGTTAAAAAGTTGTGAAAAAATTGAATTAGAAGATAATCCGAATCCTTCCAAGAACTTTTTGAAGACCTTTGTACATTACTCACTCTGTTTTTATGTTTATTCATTCAGCATATACTGAGTGCCTGTACCGAAGCAGGCAGTATCCTAGGTCTTGCCCCTAGGCAGCTGATTTTTCACATTTATTTTATATAATAAACAGATAGACAAGATAATTACCCATAGTGCTTTTTGCTTTGAAGGAAAAAGCTCATCTCTGATCAAAGACCTGAAAGACAATCAGTTGGTCTTGAATAGACTCCACTGATGTCTCCAGATACTTAGTACTACATTGGAATGTGGTTTTTCTTTCTTTTTAAATCTTAAACTTTGTTGATTTATCAAAGTAATAAGTAGAAATGCTTGTAACACAATTAGCATTTTGTTTGTATTATAAAATACCGGCAGTAAAGAGGTCTGGTCTCCTGAGAGGCCCTTTCCTCCCATGCTCCCTTTCTGTGTCCTCCTCTTCTCCTTGGTGATACTGTGAACAACAGTTTGACACATAGGAGAAACTTTATTAAACATTTAGTAAGGATGGGGAAGTTATTACATTTTTGTCCTGGAGACTCATTTTTACATCACAGGTAAAGATACCGCCATCTGTGCTCACTATTTTTCTAGTGTTCTTCAACAGATACTTACTGAGTGTCTGCTGTGGCTCTGCCAGCCCCGAGCCAGGCCCTGGGATTACATTGGTCCACAAGGCTGGCTTTGTGACTGATGAGCTT